TGTGCGCGCGCGCGCGCGCGCGCCACGAGCTGTAACTACCAGAAATTGACAAATATGATCGCCTATGTATGATTACATTTTTGTCACTCATCAGCCTACACAAATTAGTCCCAACACCCGGGGGAAAGCAACTCTCATTAGCCTAGGAACCCGCCGTTCCATCTCCTCGCTGAGCAGGGGGTCACCATCCTCCCTGTACATTTCCAGGAAAATGGCAGTATACCATGGAATGCGCTGCAAAGAGGGTCGTGGACACTTTAACCTCGTCTTCAACGCCTTTCTCCCTCGATCTATCAAACCAGCTGCGCAAATTACGTCAAATTTGAAACAATCGAGCGCGAAACCAACCACTACCAAGTCGATGCCTCCGCCTCCACTATCCCTCCTTCCCTTCCGACTCAATCTCTCCAACCATACTTTTGTCACAAGAAGCATGCGACCCTTCCCCCTGCCCTGTCAGCAGTAGCCACCTCACAGGCAACAGCAAGAAAAGAACCACCAACATGAGCCCTATGATGCTTCGCATCCCAATTCGCAGCCCAAGAACCACCAACATGAGCCCTATGATGCTTCGCATCCCAATTCGCAGCCCTGAGGTACGGCATCCCAATTCGCAGCCCTGAGGTACGGCATCCCAATTCGCAGCCCTGAGGTACGGCATCCCAATTCGCAGCCCTGAGGAATAGAGCCTGGATGCACTACTCTCCAAATGTGCAAAATGAGACTGAATCTTCCTCCAGAAGATGGAAAGATACATTACCATCTTTTTTGTCTTTTGTGCATGTGGAGAGTAGTGCAGCCAGGGCCATAGTTCGGTATGGTGGGGTCCGGCTTCTGTGTCACGGTCGCCGAATCTTGGAGGCTGACAACCACTGCAAATGATAACTGCAAACAAGGGCATATAGAGGGCCAAATTCCTGTATGACCTGTCCTCCTAGCATTTAGAAGGACTGGTCTAGCGAGTAAGTCCCATGGGTAGTGGCACCCTGGGGAACAGGCCGTGGTGGGGTCCCCATAGTGAAACTGGGCAGAATCCAAAATTCCGAAACTGGGCACAAGGCTTACACACGCACTTATGGTTTCAACAAACCAACACTCGTTGCAGCAACAACTCCGACAGACACCAGTAGAAGGAGGGAGAAAAGGAAAAACCACACTGATGTCTGGAACGCGACTTTATTAAAACTATGAAGTGCAGCAAAGAGGACGACCCTACCGGTTTCACCAGGCCGCCAAACCTGGATAATCAGGGGTCTGAAAGTTGAGGCGGTGGGCATCGTGTCAACCTACTTGTATACTCCAAGTTAACACCGGTAGACTAGTCCGGACACGGCCAGAAAATCAGTTCAACCAGCTTCATCACAGAGCCGCACAAACCCACAACCCGACAAGACGATGGTTCAAATCACCTTACCTACTACTAAAACAATCCTAAAGCATAACAACATGCAGACCGCAAGATCCACCCAGATACAGAAAATAAACCAGCCTATTCCGCACGTGACCTCACTTACTAAAAAACAACCCACGAGTCAGCAGATCAACCCCACCCGACACTACTACCAAAGAACAACATCAATCGATCCAGACGTACACTTATTCTTGAACAAGGACTTCAAGACACACCATATACAGGACAAAACAAACAACCCCCTAGACCGAGGGCACCCATCAAAAGGCAGTCCCCTAAACCGAGGGTCCTTCAGACCCCTTTCTACCCCCCAAAAAACGCCCTCACTTAGCCATTCCTTCCAAATACCTCCAAACTTCCTTAAAAACCTGAACAAGGCAATGTCAAAGTATTCATCGGGGTAACCCTCCTCCAGAGCTCGCACTTTAGAAAGAACAGCAAAGGAAAGACCATACCTTCAATAGACGAATAGGTCTTCGCACGATGCAGGAAGGAAGATATCACATCAAACTTTGTTGCCGACCGGTATACGGAAAGAAATCCTGAATGTTTTGAAACAGCAATTCATCATTCACGTTCCGACATTGATTTTTTACCATTGGAAAGCACACCATTCTCGTCTTCCCTTCGAAAATCTTCAACACACAACTGAGATATCCCAACACACCCCCTCACTAGTCTTCTCCAAAACCAGATTCCCATCGTAACATCTACTGAAATGTTCAATTAAATTGACTGCCTTTCTTTGACACACCTCATCTCCTTTATTACAAATCGCAAACATGAACACATCGTCAACCAATCGAAAACCACAAAACTTTATTAGATCAGCACCCAAACTTGACAAAACCACAAATTCATTATAAGCATTAACCAGACAGGCATGCCTCAACAATCGACCAGAGGCAGAGATGAAAGTATCCTGAAGCTCCAAGGAAACGAAGCTCAGAATCAAAGAGAAAGAAACCTTCTTCCAATCATCCTCGCAACGGCCTTTCAGGAGCACAACACCCTTCGCACACTTCCTTACCGCAACAACGACAACACCTTTGTTTAAGTAAAGTCAGCGACCTAGGCTAACGCCCTTAAGATGGATCCGTGCAAGAGATTGGATAACGTCTCCTTAACATCGAAACAAACGTCCAATAAATCATGATCATAAGTCAAACCTTTGTTGACCATTGAGATGGCAGACAACAAACCATCAACACTCCGTAGATTTAAATTGGAATGAGCTGGCAAGTTTCATAGTAGCACATTAACAGCCCCAACAACAATCCGCCCACAACAAAATAAACACTATGAATACGAAGGACAGATAGGTCGTCACTGCGTAACATCTTTATGCTTAGGTAAATGATAATCCCTCCCAAGGCTCACATCCTTCTTCCATTTGTTGATTGTTCCCAAACCAGCACGTTTGTACTCATCAAAGCACCTCCTCAAAAGTACTCCCTTGCTATCTAAGCAGAGTTCAAAGGACGGGTTGTCAAAAAATAATTTCCTCATGTCGGAATCATAAACCAACGGGCAACAAACCATAATATCGCCCATGTTGTGATCAATAGAATTGCACACGAGCCCTTAAAACATAAAAGGAAAAGGACCACAAGCGTCTACGCAGATAGCAGTAGGACACAGAGGAGGAGTAAGACTTGGAAAAAAAAACTTTCAACAGTTTGTCAGTCAAGACACCGAAACACAAAGAGGGCAAAGAAGGATGATCAACAAAAGCAGCGACAATCCGAGAATGTACAATATCAATAGAACGAGATTTAGAAGGACGAAGCAAGTTCTTAGAGTTTTAGCTAAGACGGAAAGCAATCAAGGTCATTAAGACGAAGAGAGATATGTCCATCAACACGCGACATGAATGAGTCAACATCTTGAAAACAACAGCTCACCGCCTCAACTCTCGAGGCCTGCCTATAGTTATGCAATACGTCGCCAACACTCTTATTGCGCACCCAAATAATCCTCATTCGCCTTACAATCATTGTCTTTCATCCTTCTTAGATTTGAAGATTGACCACCAACGCAGCGAAAATCCGTCGCACCTTGGCCTTGAAAATCCCTTCCTCAAAATTTCATATGATAATAAACCGTTCTCTGATGTGAAGACCAAACCTAGAGAAAATACATTTACATAATAAGCAACTCAACCAAAACGTCAAGACTTATTTTTTTCAAAAGATAACGGCTATCCGGATTAGCCAGAAAAACGGTCAACGGATCCTTAAAAGACAAGGACCTACTAAGAAAGAGAACCACTGAAAGGAAACAGAGGGTAATGGCACCGTTAACCCAATCTCTAGCATGTCGAAGCTCAACTGCACAAAAAATGCAAAAAAAAATACTGCCCTCATAGAACCTCCTGGGAACCTTCCATCGATCAGTCCAAGCCTCCCCTCCCGCACACTTGATAACCACAGACTCAATAGATTTAACCCCGACAAACCTCCAAGATCTTAAGCAGGCTACTCGACGCAACACTAATGGAAGAATAAAAAGTCAACAATGACTGCTTCCCTGACACCGTAACCTCACCATGCACTTAACCTTCCTCAATCTTTCCCTCAAACTCGGACGACGTCTCCGTGATCACCGAGGTTTATCCCTTGTATTGAGCGTGGGGAAAAACAATCGAATAAAGTATTTCTCTGTAGCCAAGAGATCAGCAGAAAGACAACCACAGAGAGGGAGAATAACATAAGTGTGAGCATCACACCTTCGAAGCCACCTATACAACTTTTCATTATGTCTACCTGTTTCAATCACGTCCAAGCGACATGCACGATAGACATGCTCCCACCAATGAAAATGCAAATCCCGTTGCGTGCTACCAATGTACAAGTGTTTCGACCATGGTGACACCAGCGCATAAACAACAGACCCCTTTCATTCACCTTCGAACAACAAGCAACGTGAAGTTAATTAAAGTTTCACTAACTTGTGTCCCCATGGAACCTCATTAGACACAATAAGACAACAAATTACGATACTCAACAACACAATTAGCTCCCTACGCCTCAAAACTCCGAAGATAGAGACCAAAATCTA